GCGGCGCGGCACGCTCCCCGCGCTCCAGCGCCTCTGGCGCGGCGCGGCGCGGCGCGGCACGGTCTTCAGACGCTAGAAGCGGGAGCCGCACGCGGGAGCGGCGCCGACGTCTGGAGCATGTAGAAGATTTCAAAGAAGGAGCTGGCGCAGTGTCCAAGGGGGAGGGAGGAAGAGGACGGGTGGGCAACTGCGGGCGTGCGGTACTCTATGCAGCTTAAAACGTGTGTCCTGTAGAGTCCTACGGCTTCTCTGTCTGCGTGGTAACGCTTCGACCGTGCGATCGAATGAATCGGCGCGGAACACGTTTTATCTTGGAATCTAGGGGCAGCACGCGGCGCGCGGGCACGGCGCAGCACGGCACAGCTTCGCACTCGAAGCTCGGGCACGGCGCGCGGGTGCGGCACGGCACGGCACGCGTCGCTTCGCATATTTTTTTGAATGTCGGCGCGGCGCTGCACTGAACGTCGTGGCACGCCACGGCACATTGCCCTCGGTGTAGGGCTTATCGCAGGCCTGGAGGTTGACGCCAACACCAATATCAGCGGTGTGCCTCCACCGAGGGAAGAAGATCCTGATCGCGGTGATGGCGGTAATATTCTTGCTTCCAAGGCGACCAGCAAATTACCACCAACACCGAAATCTCGGATCATCTTCCCCCTGTGGAGGCAACCCCTTTGTGTTGGCGTTGGTGCCCGTTTCCATGTCTCCAGACTTTGGCGCGGCACTGCGCGGCATGGCACGCGGGCGCGACGCTTCAGAAACGGGTTCTTTTGCATCGAGTTTTGACCCCAATGAAACATTCGCTGTTTTTTTTTTGCGGGGGGGGATACGCGCATAAACGTGCGAGGGTCCGCGCGCAGTTGTTTGAATCGGCGTTGAACCCCCTCGCTGGCGCCTCCGCCGCCGCCCTTGGCGCGCCTCTCGTGTCGGCGAGGGCGGCTTAGTGCCGATCGAACAAATTCACGCGCACATCCGAAAGTTTATTAATGGGCCTGTTTTCCACCGCCACCACCACCATAAGTTGGAGGGGGGATGGAGGTGGAGGATGAGGCGGAGGAAGAGGAGGAGGAGAAGGAGGAGGATCCCCTCCCCCTCCTACTTGTGGTGGTGGTGGTGGAAAACAAGCCCACCATTTATGTGTACGTTTTCCCATTCCGCCGCAGGAATGGGGGCGGTGTCCGCGGTATGCGCTCTTGCGGCGAAGAGGCGAAGCGTGAGACAGTCGGGGGCATTGCAAAACAGGCCAACGCGCAGGGATGAAAAGTGCGGTCGGCAGGTGGCACGCAAGCTGACCAACCCCACGGCATACCCAGAACACCGATGTGCGCTGACATTGCGCACGGTGGTCGCTTCCTGTTTGTCTGGTGAGCTTGTGCTGTTGTGTCACGCAGGGCGTAGGCCAAAGTGGGGGGGCTGTACCGGGGATTCATTTTTCGGAAATAGGGCTTTTGGTTCGCGTGGATGTCCTTGCAATCAAGAGGAGGAGGAGGGGGAAGGGGACGACAACGACGAGGAGGACGAGGAGGAGGAATATCAGGAGACGCAGAGGGACGAGAAGTCGGAACGACCGACAAATAACGCGTCGTGGTGGCGGTGATCGCATTCGGGGGCATTGGATCTGGTTCTCAGCGCCGAGCTGGGCTGCGGGCTGCAGGGGGACGAAGAGGAAGAGGATGGGGGGGAAAAAGTAGGAGGAAAGGGACGATCACAACCGAAAAAAGTTTGACTGACTTCGGCATGCAACGAGGGAGCAACGGACTCAGGCGGGGAGGAAAGGGCACAGCGCGACATCAAAGAATCCTTCCTTCCCTTTGCCGCTGCTCCACGTGCCTTCCCAGGTCCCCGCCCTCAGCCCGCGTCAGGCCGTACAACGCCAGGCCGCGCTGTTGGTCGGCGGCGAGCGATTCCTCGCGGACGGTCGAATTTGGCCCCTTTCGGCCCTGACTTCATGAGTCGCGGCCCCATACACGCGCCATGGAAATACTAGGTGGATTCCTGTGTGCAGGGTACTTCCCTAGTCTAAACTTATTTAGAAAAACCTCTCAACCCTTGTAACCACATGGGAAACGCTCGTTTGCCACTGTGACGACTCGTTGGAGGAAAAGTGCAAGCCACGAGAACCGCACCGGCACTCTGTCCGCGTCGGCACCACGGTGAAATGTTACGGATCTCGGTTCTGGGCATAGAGAAGGCCATTGCGGGACAAGTTCGTGAGAGTATTTTGCCGCATGGTGAGGATGATTTTCGGGGACCCGCCAGACGCGTCGAAGAAACAATTGCGAGTAGTTTTAGCATTTCGTTTTCCGAACCCCGCAAGTCTATTATATGATGCAGCATGTAGTCGTTGACGGACTGGATGTAGCGGGTTACAAATCAACGGCATAAGCTCGTGATTGGTGATTTGGCAATTTGGCGCGTTTCGTAGCGCAAGCGACACGTGTCACCGAGCACGTGATAGAGCGCAGCTGTAAAGGTTGGTGCAGTGTGCGCCCTGCCTGGACGGAATCCACCGTAGTGTTAGGTGCTCGCTCACAGTTAAAAGTGTACGGAGAGGCAAGGCTGTTCAGAAAAAAAAACATCAACGATGCGTTGGTGCTCAATGCGGGGTCCGATGGCGCGATGGTCACAGTCTGCTCGGAAAAACTTCCTCGTCCAACCGCCCCCAAAACACAGGTAACACATTCGAGCTTGTTACTTCCTTCTTCGGAGCAATGCGGAGGCAGCTCTTGCAGTCTGACCAGTCCGCCCATCATCATGCACTCTGCTCCTGCGCTGCGCTCCAGCGCATCCAAGACGCCCGCCATGAGAATCCACAAAGCCTTGATGTGGGCGAAATTGTTTACCTGCACGAGCACGCACGCCCGTCAGAGTGGAGCGAGCAGAGACTCGGTCGGGATTTCTGTATCAAGCGAGTTCATCGTTGAAGTGTCGTGTATGGACGATGCATATGCTGCACAAATGTCTCAGGCGTACCACTGGGTTGCAGCTGCAACGATTGATGTGGGATCCACAAGGCGCAGCATGCTGTAGGTGGCATTTTAGTGTGGCGGTCGTCCGTCCAGGGCGTCGGGTTCCGATTTTACGTCGAGCATTCCGTCATGTCAGCGTAATTACTTTTTCTATATACATGCCGAGCGCGATGCAACATTGGGGCCGGTAATTGCGTTTTGGGGTTAGCCACACACGTGGCGTTACATCATTTAGTTCATGTGTGCTGTCAACTGTGGCCTGGAACTACTGCGGTCTTAGCCATGTGGATCGTGGCTGCTGTTGCGAGTGGAGCTATCCCGCCACAGGGCGAAGCGAGCACGTCATCGTCACTGCGGCTGATTACGGCCTGTTCGCCCCTTTCGAATGCTTCAGAGGCAGGTGGCCACAGGCGGCTACCGAGGTGCATGTCTAACGCATATCATGAGACCTTTTCGCGAGTTGTTCGTACCAGTCGCGCTTACCTGCGCCAGGTCTGTTCGGATACCCTGCTCAGAAGCCCGTTGTCTCCTTCCCTGTCACCCCGACCCCTTGCCTGTGGGCCGTGTCGCACCCCCCATGCAGGAGGGGCGGTATCAGTTCGAATCGCTTAGTGTGGTTGTCCTACACCTTGGACGGATACGTAGAGCAAGATCTTTGGAGGCCTCCAGTGTCTCACAAGGGCCAATAACTGCTAAAAGCCTCGATCCTCGAAGCGGGCCGCCCTTCTTGGGACGGCCGCGTGAGGCAGGTGTTGCCTGCAGCCGATGGAATGCACACGATGACCATTACCAAGTTGTCGCAGGATCTTGTCGATCAATTCCCTGGTCGCGGTCCATGCCGGCCGTCGCTGATTCGAGAGGATGATCAGAGGATTGACGAATACCAGGATGGACGATGCCCAAGATCAACGCCGACGTTTTCGCGTTCAGCGTTCAGTCTTGGCCATGGTCTTCGTTGTCTTCTCCTCCAAGTGAGGCTTCTAGCAGCAAATAACCGTCCGTGCGGGGGCAGACCTGCTGCGATCATCACAGCACGGCCTCCAGGGCCGCAGCTTGTGGTTGCAGGGCAAGTTTCGGTCGGTCTCTGGCCATCGGCTGTCGGTTTCGCAAGTTTTCAGTATCGTTTCGCTGACCCCTATTTCCACGTCCACTCCCCACTTCCCACCCCTCTAGTTTCCGACTCCAGCTCCCCGCTTTCCGACTTCGGCCGAGTTCCGAGTTCAGAGCTGAGGCGCCCCGGCGCACCCGCCGTCCCCTACAAGGGTCGCCATCTTGGCGACATCGGCGCCGATCCGCTCCGCTCCGCTCCTATCCATCTCCCCATCCTCATCCAGATCCCCACCATCACAGCAACCCAGTTGGGGATATACCCTTCGAAACCAGAAGGAAACGGCCTATATCCCCATCTAGGGGGTTAAATCGGCTAGTGGGCCAAGGCCACGCCATTGGGTACATGGGCCGGATGAGCGATGTTCAGGCCTTCGACGACGACGACGACGACGACGACGACAACGATGACGACGATGGCGACGACGGCGACGACGGCGACGACGACGACGGCGACGGCGTCGACGACGACGACGACACCGACGACGAGCCTTCGCCGAGTTCTGGTCAACTGCGCGAGCATCGGCCCCTCACAACGACATTGTGCCTCTGCCAGGCTCTGGCTGCTGGCCGGACACCAGCCCTCGACCCCGACGAGCTTCTGTCTGTTCCTGCCCATCGGCGCGGGCACATCGGATCTCTCCGCACATCGGTATTGTTTAACCAATCCCCATTCCCATCCCCATCCCCTTCGAGACCCCCACCGAAATACCACCCCAGTTGGGGATACACCCCTCGAAACTCGAAGGGAACGACCTATATCCCATCTAGGGGGGTAAATCGGCCAGTGGGGCCTAGGCCACGCCGCTGGGGATGGGGATCGGTGAAACGATACTCAGCACAGCCGGCACAGGCGAGGCGGCAGGGGATCGGTCCGCTCGCGCTGGTCTGCTGTCGCCGCCCCGTCGCTCGTCACCCGCCAAGGCTGCTGGCACGCGAGTGCGCCGCGGGGGACAGCACTTGCCGCTGCCTCAGCGATCCTCCGCAGCGCTCCTCCTGACTACTCGCTCATCCTCGCTCCTCGCTCTCCTAGCTTCTCGTTCTTCTGGCCCGTCGCCCCCCTCGCCCCTCGCCCTCCTCTCCGCTCGTCCTTGGCATAGGGTTGCTCACGATCCGAGACGATCCGTCCAGATCCCCCAACTTCGAGCCCGATCTCGATCCTGCCCGATCCTGCGCTGCCGACTCTCCCCGGGCATGCGTGTGGGGCCGAGCTCGATCCACGACTCAGGCGATGCAGTTCCGATCCGACTCCGCGCCGATCAGGGCGCGATCCGATCCGATCCGATCCGACCCCGCGGTCCAATCCGACCTCGCGGTTCGATCCAGCTCGGGCCTCTCTCGGTCGGAGGGGGCCCGCAGCGCCGAGGCTGGTCTGGCGACGTGACGCAGGAGCTGTGCTGCTCGGGTGCGCGGCCGCCGCGGGGTGGAGGAGGAGGAGGAGGAGGAGGAGGCGGAGGAGGAGGAGGAGGAGGAGGAGGAGGAAGAGGAGGAGGAGGAGGAGGAGGAGGACGAGAAGGAAGAGGAGGAGGATGAGGAGGAGGAGGAGCAGGAGCAGGAGGAGGAGGAGCAGGAGCAGGAGGAGGATGAGGAGGACGTGAAGGATGATGATGATGATGATGATGATGATGAGGAGGAGGAGGAGGAGGAGAAGGAGGAGGAGGCGGAGGACCAACCACTACCACAGGAGGTCAATTACCCCTCAAGTCACACTACAAAGTAGTAACGACTAACCAACATTTCCAGGCACAGTGTGGCATGAGGCATCTTGGGGCCTCCTGGAGCTGGGGCCTCTTTGGCGCATGTTGGGGTCCTCGTGAGGACCTCTTGAGGGACCGCTGGCGGTCTCGGAAACCATCTTGGGGGACGGGGCTCGAGATGTCACTTCGTGTTCCCCCTCTCGGGGCCGTCTTTGGGGGCGTTGGGCCCTCTTGGGGGCATCGATCTTGGGGGGGGCCTTTTTGGGCCGTCTCGGACGCTGTTAAGACCAGAATGCCGAGTATGCCAAAATCGTACCGATCATGGTTTCTTGGGCCAGTCCCTACGGTTCCCACGACTGCCAGAGGCCCGCAAGAAGGCTGCAGAACCATCTTAGACCATTGGGGATATGGGTCCCGCGCTACGCTCCGAGGCCTTTGGACAAGTCATGCGGGGCGCCTCCAGGAACGCCCAGAAATCTTCAGAATTCGGAGCCCTGGGGCTTGGAAGAGGAGCATTCGCAGAACTCAATGTCGAGAGCCCGAAGGAGTGGCCTGAGGACACTCCACTCAGGGCCTACGGCACGGCGGCGAATCTTGCGACGCTGGAGGTTCGGGGGGGAAATCGAATGCCTCTCGGTGGCATTCTGGGGCCTCTTGGCGGCGCCCAGGGGGCGTGTAGGGGCCTTCTGGTGTCACGGGGCAATTTGGGACTTTTTTTGGGTGGTGTCTTGGGATCTCTGGGGAGCAGTTGTGTGCCCACGACGCACCCTGGAGCTATGTTGAAGCTTCTCGGATGGTCTGGGATCCGATGTTGCGAGAACCTCTCAAGCCCCATCCGTGAGTCAGTGCAGTCGATGTTGCACAATGCAATACAGTGCCTCGCGATGCAATTCAATGCGAATTCGTGGCGCAACCTACGGGCGCGATTTACGTTGTAGGTTGTAACGCAGAAGCAGCTCGCGGCCACAAGAGATGTCCGCACCAGCATTTGGAGCCAGTGGCGCAACCAGTTGGCGCAACCTATGGTACCCAGAAGTGCTTGCGTTCTCAGACGTAGCCCGTGGGCGCAAGCTATATATACACACATATGCATACATCGACATATATGTATATATATACATATATAGATGTATGTTATGGCAACAACTAGTTCCTTGGCCGACATGCGCTACCTGCGGCGCAACCACTGGGCGTAACGTATACCACCTGATAATCTCCTGGCCATCAGGCCCAGTGTCTGAGAATACGGCTACGAACCCCTAAATGAAATCACTGCTTGTGGAACGAAGGGGAGCAATGCGTCGTGGTGATGTGTCATGGACGTCGTCACAGCGAATGAATGCGCGTACAAGCGTACTGGGTTGATGCGCGCGGGGGATGTTCCCCAAACAGCGCCTGAATTGAGGGGGTTCTTGCTTTGCTTGTTGAGTACTTGGGCGGGTCCGCCTGTATTCTTCCACGTTGCCGCCCCGTGCCGCTTCTTGTGTGCTCGTGGGCGCCCCGTGCGCTGGGTGGGTCCGCCCGTGCCGCTTCGTGGGCGCTCGTGGGCGCCCCAGGGTCCGGGCGGGTCCGCCGAGGTTGCGCCTCGTTGCCGCCTCGTGGGCCCTCGTGGGCGCCCCGTGCGCTGGGCGGGCCCGCCGAGGTTGCGCCGCGTTGCCGCCCCGTGCCGCCTCGTGGACGCTCGTGGGCACCCCGTGCGCTGGGTGGGTTCGCCGAGGTTTTGTGCCGCGTTGTCGCCCGTGCCATTTCGTGGGCGCTCGTGGGCACCCCGTGAGCTGGGTGGGCCCGCTGAGGTTGCGCCGCGTTGCCGCCCGTGCCGCCTCGTGGGCGCCCGTGGGCGCCCCGTGCCTCCTCGTAGGCGCCAGGGCGCCCCGTGAGCTGGGTGCGCCCGCCGAGGTTGCGCCGCGTTGCCGCCCCGTGCCGCTTCATGGGCGCTTGTGGGCGCCCTGTTCGCCAGGTGTGTCCGCCGAGGTTGCGCAGTGTTGCCCTTCGTGCCGCCTCGTGGGTGTTCGTGGGCGCCCCGTGAGCTGGGTAGGCCCGCCGAAGTTGCGCCGCGTTGAGTTGCGCCGCGTTGCCGCCTGTGCCGCCTCGTGGGCGCTCTGTGGCGGGTCAGTCGAGATTGCGCTGCGTTGTCGCCCGTGCCGTTCCGTGGGCGCTCGTGGGCGCCCCGTGAGATGGGTGGGTCCGCCGAGGTTGCGCCATTCGTGGGCGTTCTTGGGCGCTCCGTGCGCTGAGGTTGAGCCACACGACGTACTCCACATAGGTTGACGACATACATTACACCGCATAACTTACACGACATGGCCGACACTACGTAACTTGCACGACCTTTAGCTTGCACCTCCAGCTCACACCACATAAGTATGTATTACATAACATAAGTTCTAGTGCGCTATCCCACCTCAATAGCTCACACCACATAGCCTACAAGTCATGGCTTACACCACGTAGATTCCACCGCATAGTTTCCATCTCAACAGTGCAGCGACTAACTGTTCGGGGTGCACGCTGGCCAACATGGATACAGTGGGTTGGTACACTGCTCTAGGTGGGACTACTCTTGGTCGTGATTGCGTGGTTTCATCAACGCATGCGTCCATGAATTCATACATGCAGACACTTTTGGGCTTCGATGTTCCTATGCAGCTATGCGCTTATGTGCTAGTTGACTTAGCAATGTGCAGTGCCATTTACGCGTGTATGAACACTTCCATGTACATGCGACACAGCCTACCCGCTCCGCACAAGACACGTAGATTCGCAAGCGCGGGTGTGTCAGGTATTGCCGCAAGTTATGCATGCGTGGTCGTGCGCTCGTGGTGAAGAGCCCGCTGCTTCCTTCGCCGAGAAGGCTCTTCTGACGCTGCGCTGCGCGCAGGCCCGCAGGGGAACCCTGACTGCTGGGACGCGGAGTACACGTTCGAGCGTTGCTGCGGGTCGCTCGCAGGCTTGCCCGCCTATCGACGGTGATTGACGTATCCCTATCTCGCGACCGGCTGATTCCAGTGGGTCCGATCTCTTTTTCAGTTTCTGTCCCGACCGGGATCCGCACTTGCTTCATATCCGTAAGGGCTTCGCCCCCTCTGCCGCCGGCCCGCTCTCTCGGATAATGGGCAACGCAAGAGCGAAATCATGAGGCCTTGGTGCCGCCGTGAAGCAGCGTCGGGACTTCACGCGAAGACGATGAGTAATCGACACGACAAATTTAGATTCTGATGGTATTGTTCATTTCGGGGTTGTAAATATAGGGCAGTTTACGCAGGTTCATGGCTTCGGAGACGCGAATCGTATGTAAGTTGCAAAGGTTTATGGCTTCGGACACGCGATTATAGTGTAACTTACGAGGTTCATGGCTTCGGAGACGCGAATATGGCGTAAAAGTTATGAGGGATACGCAGATGTAGTTCAGTGTGCGAGGGTCTGTGGCTTTGGGAACCGCGAATATGGAGTTTTTTCCCGGAAAGGGCGTGGGCCCAGGGTTCTCTTTTAGTAGGTAAACCTGTCCCCCGGTGCCAACTTGAGGGAGGCCGGCGAATTTTTTCCCTGATAAATAACGAGGTCGAAGGAGGCCGGCGAATTAAAATTTGAGGATGTCTCGAGCGAAACGCTTGTTTTTGAAATCCCGATCGATAAATCACAGGGTGCGGGCCACTTTTTCGTGTGTTGAGGATGTCTCGAGCGAAACGCTTGCTCCGCAGAGTTTGCCGAGGATGTCTCGAGCGAAACGCTTGTTTTGCAGAGCCGACCGCGACGCGGAAAAGCGCCCCGCGCGAAGGAATTTCGATGATGTCTCGACTAATTCGTTTGTTTTTGTACGATTTCCTGGAATTTTGGCAGGATGTCTCGAGCGAAATGCACGACCCCACCCTAGCACGACCATACCCCAGCACGACCACACCCCAGCACGACCAGACCCCAGCACGACCCCACCCCAGCACGACCCCACCCCAGCACGACCATACCCCAGCACGACCACACCCCAGCACGACCCGACCCCAGCACGACCCTACCCCAGCAAGACCACACCCCAGCACGACCACACCCCAGCACGACCTCACCACAGCACGACCACACCCCAGCACGACCACGCCCCAGCACGACCACGCCCCAGCACGACCACCCCCCAGCACGACCACCCCCCAGCACGACCACCCCCCACACGACACCCCAGCACGACCAACCCCAGCACGACCACACCCCAGCACGACCACACCCCAGCACGACCACACCCAGTCGCACCCCCGTGGAATGTTTCGTGGCGTGTCTGGTTGAGTGGTTGCCTGTTCGTGGGGTGTCTCGTGGAATGTTTCACGGGGTGTCTCGTGGAATGTTTCGTGAGGTGTCTCGTGGAATGTTTCGTGAGGTGTCTCGTGGGATGTTTCGCGGGGTGTCTCGTGGGATGTTTCGTGAGATGTCGCCCAGTTGGGTATCGTGAAAACGTGACCATGCTGCACATGTCTTTATCCCTTTCCGGGTTCGTGGGTCCATCATGTTCTGTTAAATTGTTATTGCATCGGGAACGCAAGTATCGTATTACGTATACAGGTGCATTGTTTTAGAGACGCGAATCTATCATACTTTACGCAGATTCATGGCTTCGGGGACGCGAATATTGCGCAATGTACGCAGGTTTATGGCTTCGGAGACGCGAATATTGCAAAATTTGGAAGGGTTTATGGCTTCGGACACGCGATCATGGTGTAATTTACAAGGTTAATGGCTTCGGATACGCGAATATTGCGTAAACTGTACGACGGATTATGGCTTCGGATACGCAGATGTAGTTCAGTTTGCGAGGGTCTATGGCTTCGGGAACGCGAATACGGAGTTTGTTGTTAATGGTTTATTGCATCGGGAACGCAAGTATCGTATAACGTATACAGGTTTATGGTTTTAGCGACGCGAATCTAGCGTACTTTATGAAGGTGTATGGCCTCGCGGACGCGAATATTGCGTAAGTTACGAGGGTTTATGGCCTCGGACACGCAAGCATTGAATACTTTACGAAGGTGTATGGCTTCGGGGATACGAATACGGCGTGTTTTGCTAGGGTTTATGGTTTTGGGGGCGCGAACATTGCGTAATTCATGAAGGTTTATGGCCTCGGGGACGCGAATATGCTGTAAGTTACAAAGGTTTATGGCCTCGGGGGCGCGAGTTGTATGTATTTTTATGTGTCCACGCCCCCCCCCCAGAAATTCTGAGACCCTCCCAGGAGACGCTAACCAGGCTGATTTTCCGCTCCCCCCCCTCGCGCGGTCTACAACAAGGAACAGTAATACAACAAGAGGCAGAACTATCACATTGGAAACTGGAACCTGCAATTGGCGCAGGGAGCAGCAAACCTTTGCCCTACAGCCTGGTGGCCCCACAAGGGGGCCGGCGGATTCCGCACCCTAGATCCCCCGGCATCCAGTTGTCCTCTGATTTACACCTTGTCCGTACGAGTATAGTTGGTTGTCTGGGGGTTCTGAGCTATTGGCCCCTCTTCTCTTCAGTCGAGATTGGCTCCAGTATTTAGTAACAGTCTGTTTGGATTGCACAGGGTTCGCGCCAGCTTGGGTCTTTGTTTGTACGATGTGCGATCTTGCGAATACCAATGCCAACACCAGCTTTTCGCTCAATTTTGGAACCCTTGGGCCTCCTCCTCCTCCTCCTCCTCAATTTTCGCTCAATTTTGGTCCAAGGGCCCTTTAGGCCCTCTGGGCTTCGTGAGGGGTGCTCTGGAGGCCGTGGGGGCCTCCCTGAAAATCCGGGGGCTCTTTGGGCCAGGGGCACTTCTGGCAACACCTGCAACGGGGGTCAGCCAGGGCGCCGGATCTTGCAGGATCCTGCAGAGCCAGGGTCGCACTGACCCGGGCTAGCGCGCAGGATCCTGCAGGATTATTTGCAGGATCTTGCAAAACCCGAGTGACCCAAGCTCGCATTGACCCGGGTCAGTGCGTCCCCGATCCCGCGGATACGGAGCGTTTTTTTTCGGATGCGCCGTGCGGAGCGTGTCCGTGCGGCCACGTATCCATGGGCTCGCGCCCCAGAATCCAGACCGCGATGGCGCGGATACGGATAAGTTCGCCGCTCGTGAGCGTTCTCGGCGATGAAGCATCGCGGTGCCTGCACCACACACGTGGGCGGCGCCTTGCAGGAGGCCCCTGCTGAAGGCAGGCCCTCCGCTTCGCCAGCTGCCCACGGAGTTCGGCCTGGAACGCTCCTCTGCTCGCCCACACGGCAGTGCCTCCTCCTCCTCCTCCTCGTTCCCCACTCCTCCTCCTCCTCCTCCTCCTCCTCCTCCTCCTCCTCCTCCTCCTCCTCCTCCTCCTCCTCCTCCTCCCCCTCCTCCTTCTCCTCCTCCTCCTCCTCCTCCTCCTCCTCCTCCCTCTTCTCCTCCTCCTCCTCATCCTCCTCCTCCTCGACCCACACCTCCTCATCCTCCTCTTGGGTTCACTCGTCCTCCCCCGTCTCCCTCTTCCCTTCCTCCCAGCCGCCTGCCCAGTTCTTCCGACCGACGGGTACGTTAATCTGCACCCTTTGAGCAGAAGGGGCACGCAGCAATCACCATTGGCCCGCTCTAGGCGACTGGAGACAACGAGACCACTCGACATCCAGAATGTGCACTCCTGTTGACAGGCATGCTTGACGTGAGCGGCATCCGTTGCCCGATGGTCCAGCCTTCGCCCAACCGCAGGCGTCAGAGTACCGACGCCACCAGGAGCGAGCGGTATCGACGAGACACTTGGCACACAGGGCGCCGTGATAGGTTGGCAGTTGGGATTCATGGGGATCGCCGGCAAGTTGTTGTGTTCGCCCGTCCTGTAAGTCGCCAGTGCGATTGTCGATTGGCAAACGCATGCTCACATCGTAACAGTTATAGTCCTGGAGTGCCTGCTGCGCTCGCCGTGTCACACTGAGGGCCTATCCAGCTGGCTGTGGCGATTCCGCCACCGTGCCAGCGCAGCACTCTGGGCGGCAACTCCTCGAGAAAGCAGAGGGGGCCTGCTGGGGGCCTCTTCAGGCGGAAGGCTCGAATTCGGGGTTCGTGTTCCCATTCTGGGCCCCTTCTTGGGGCCGTCTTGGGGCCCTCTTGGGCGTTCGTCGGCGCCTCTTGGGCTGTCTTGGAGCCTAGAGGCCGTCTTGGAGCTCTCTTGGGGGCCTTTGGAGTGAGTTTTCGGGGGCGCCTCTTGGGCCGTGGCCCTCTTGGGGGCCTCTTGGGCCATCTTGAGGCAGTCCTGGTGGCCTCTTGGGTCGTGACGTCGGAAGCTCGAAAAGGCGAAAACCTGCAAGAACAGCAAGATGCCTGAGGAACATCCGTGAGTTTTGCCTCTCGAGGCCCTCTTGAGAAGGCTCTTGGGACGCCTCGACGGCCTCGTGGGCCGTCTTGAAGCCATGTCGAGCCGTCTTGAGGCCAACGTGTCCCGTCTTGGAGCGATATTGGGCCGTTTTGGAGGCATTTGGGCCTCGGGAGCGCGAACCTGTTGTATTTTGCCAGGGGTTCTGGCCTCGGGAAGGGAGGGCGATGCGCGCAGCGAGGTGCGGCCGTGAGAGGGCGGTAGCCTTTCTAACACATTTCGGAGGGGGGGCGCCCTTCTAGAACATTCCAGAAGCCCGGCCAGGCAGACTGTGGCATTCTTCCACGCCGCCTCGTGCCTTACGGCACAGAGGCTAGGGCTGAACGAAAGGGGGGGATTGGGAAAGGGGGGGTTACGAAATCTGCTGCATGCAGCTGGTTTCGACCCCGCCGCCGGGCCCATTCCTCGATACGTGGGCGCCTCCTGGCGCCGGGAGGCGCCGGGAAAATCAGCCACGTTTGCTGATGCTCTACCCCGACCTTTGCTATCCACCCCCTTCCGTTCCCCCCGAGAGGCACGGAGGCGCTCATCGCAGCAGCGCCGCAGGTGCACCGTGCCCAGGAGCGCTCGGCGGCAGCCCCAGGCCAGGTAGAGCGACGGAGCGCGTGCGCGCGAGCTGCGCCAAAGCATGGGCTTTTGGCTGGCACGGGGCTCGCCTGGCACGGCAAGGGAGTCACCAGACAGGAGGAACGAACATTCAGAAATATTGAAACGATAGCCTGGGGACGATCATTCTGACTACATTGACTCTTGTTGAGCATTGTTCGATAATTTGTATCTTTCGCCCAAATTCCGCCTGTGGGGGACATGCCCGACCTAACACTAGACCTTTGTGTTGCAAGTTGGCGCGCATGTTCGACGTGAACGGCACCCCCACGACGCGTTTACCTCCTCCTCGCCCCCCCCGAGTTTGCGCCCAATGTCGCCGCCAGCATGTCCGCGTAGCAGCCTGCACCTGACAATCATCTCTAGCCCGCTCGCCGCTTGCAACTGCCAGCCGCTACACCGCAACACGCCTGGGCAGCGCGAAGGGGCCACCATATCATTGAGCGTATGTTGTATAATCGCTTTGACATGCCTGCTTGACTTCAGCCACGTCCTTTGCTCAGCTCAGTGCCGAGCCACGCCCGCTGCCAGTGCCAGCCCGAGCTGTATCCGACCTGGCAGCTACTGCTTGCCAGCTCGCCGTTTGCCAATGGGTCGGGCTGTTGTTGCTGGAAAGTGCATTTGCAAACGCAAGTGCGGCCCTTCGTCGTTGCAGGTGCCTGTTTTCTCGGCCAGCAGTCGGATTCACAACCTGGCGCAGCAGGGCCTGTTGACCTTGCTGCACATTGGAGCCCGCTAGGGGCACCGCGTCTGGTTACCGCTTAGTTGGTTAGGGGCGCCGCGTCTGCTTACAGCGTGGTGTCTATGCCCTCTCTGCCATCTAGCCCGCCGCGTTTCGCGCTAGCTGAATGCTTGCCAGGCTGGGCGTGACGTCGAGCGTCAACCTTCCCTGGCATCACCTCGCGCACTTGTCGATGCCTCTGCAGGCACGGTCCCCGCGCCCCGCGCGACGCGCTGGTTGCACCGATATGCCCTGAGCGAAGCGTCTCTGCGGAGCGACCCTCCCGCCCACTCGGGCGCTAGCTATCTTCTACCTCTGGGCTCTGTCGCTGGAGCCAGCCGCTGCGCGCGTCCCTGGGCGGGGAGTCTCTGCGTAGCGGCCCCCCTCATAGGGGGCCCGCTGCGATTCGCCACTCCAACAGGCCTTCAATGCGCCTCCCCATCTCTGATGCAACATCGTTCGTCGTTTCAGTTTAGGTGCTCTGGTCTCCATGGCTCGCACATCTTGTGCGCACCTCTCTCCCTCTCTCGTCAGGTTAATAAGCTCTTGTCTTGCAT